CAAACTTTTACCTATTTGGTAGGTAAAAATCTCTTTATAATATTTTCAGTATTAATGCCATTTTTTGTTTGGGATTGTGATGTATCACTTCTTAGAAAAAATTTAATGTGCAATTGGATGTAAAGCTGAGGTAGAATTTTGGGGGGTCCTATTGTCTTGACCCTGTTGTATGTATTCCATTGACTTTTATTCTAACATGGATATCCTTATGGAAATTCATGTCAAATAATACAGCAAGAGCTGGACTCAAATATTTAAAACATATTTACAGAATTATTTTCAGAGAAACAGGCATAACATGTTGGTGTCTGTCATACTAGAAAGCATCAGCATTTCTGAATGAAGTTATCTTTTTCTGTAGTCATGTCAATGCAAATATCAAATCAGTTCAATGAACTTGTGTCTTAATCAGTAAGCTGTCTAAAAAATCTTACATACTTCTATAAACATTTATAAACATACTTACCTTGTTTCCTTTTCCAGGAAGTGCTTTTTAAGTGAGCTTTCACTTGCTTGCATTTGAATCCACGTATTCAATCCCTTTGTGGGGTTCAGTACTTCTGGTTGGTAGTCTCTATGTGCAGATGTTGATACAGACTTTACTGAGTGTACAGTCTTAAAATATATGGGAACAAACACCCCCTTCCTTTTTATTTCAAAAATACATCCTGTCATTGAACAACTCCATCATAGTCAGCTCTTTTTCAGTTGAGAGCCAGGGAAAAGGGCACCTCATCTTAAAATCCCTGCTATGTTTGCATTTGCTTAGAACCAAGTTAACTGCCAAGTGCAAGTCATCTGTTGGTAGATATAAGAAGACTATCTAGCAGGAAGACTGAACTTCTATTTGGAATGAGGTCTATCCATGTTCTCTGGTATTTAATAATATTTTACTACATTGTAATTATAATAATGTTTTTTTACCATTATTATAAACAACTGCTGGAAAACAGTCGGAAAAGGATCTGGAGAGTTGCAAAATAAAATGGGAAGTTTGCCCTTTGAACAGTGACTCCAGTGGGATATAAACTTCCACTTCCTCCTTTGTAAAAGTCAAGGCAAATAAGTGTTGGATGGCTGTGGACAGTCCTTATGGTTCTGTATGTCAGGAATTAAAACTGTTGATGTATTAGGGGTTTTCTTGAATTCTCTTATAGACAAATCTTACATGTGTGTTTACATTATTACAAATGAGGAATTTTCAAGGAATCCGCACTTATCTTTTACATAAAACTAAAACTGCAGTGGTAACTTCATAATACGATTACAGATTCTGGACTTTACATATACTTATTGCAAAGGTTAATGCACGATTCAGTCCTGACACTGGAGCACACATCTGCTTGTATGAGTTATTCACGAGCTTATACAGCTGTTATCCTTAACTCCAAGCATGTTATTGTTTGTGCTATTTCTCAGCAAGTTGCAGGGAAAATCTTCATTTACCAAACCGGTCTCTTTTGTCAGTTTAGCTTACTGGTACCAGTATTAAAAATTTTAACTTAAAGCCATAAGAAAATGTAGATCACTTTCTAAACGTTAAATTCACCACTGAAATGGAATAATTGTGTAAAAAGAATAACAGATTGTTGCTGCAGATTTTCCAGTCAAAGATTTGGTGTTAGCAGACTTCTAGCAGTTCTTGTTAGTGAAGAAATTCCCTGGTTAAAGTTATAATTAATTTTAGAACAGCTTAATCTCACAAAACTATGCATTTTAATTGCCCATGACATAACAGAACTGACTCTTTTCATCAGCTATACAATATGTGCATCTACAGAAGTAACTAGCTGAAATTATAGGAAGTAGTGAAGCTTTTAGAGCCCTTTTAGTATTGCGCATTCCTTCATTACAGCACATACAGCAGAGAAGCCTCAGTTTTACAAGGAGCCTTTTGGTTGTCGGATGGGATTCAGACTGAGAGAAGAGAAGAATCCCTGGCCCTTCTTGGGAAGGTGAGGAGAGAGAGGGGATGCAGTACTAACTTTATAGTGCATTAGTTGGAGCTGATAGTTTTGGGCAACCTGTTTCTTTCTCTGGTACAGGCTGTTATCCCTGTGTTGACTGACATTAACAGTACAATTCAGTTGTCCAGTTACAAGTTGCTAGTGGCATTTAAGAAGCATTAGTGTGCTTAGAACATCCACGTGGCAGATGCAGAGTGAGAGCTGTGCTCTGAGCTGGCTGCCGGATACTGCATGGAATATTCAAGGGCATTTTGGTTTGTGCCCTACATGGTATTCTCACTAGATGCCTGTATGTAGGCACCAAATAAATCTATCAGAAAGGATTGTGATATGATCATGCACTAATGCAAATGAAGCATTTTTGTAGTTTCTTCTTTCACTGACTTTGAGAAACCAGCATGTAGAAATAGACAGCATCTTTCAATATAGGGAGAGTTATTTTGCCTTGCAATGAGAGGTTTGTATTCTATATGTGTTTTTAGAGTTGAATAAATATACTGTCTTACAGATTAAATATTACATATTTTTACAATAAGCATACTGTATTCAAAGTCATGCTTAAATGTAACATTTTCATCTTGGAAAAATCAGTTTTCTTCACCTGTATGTCTGTCTGCAGTTTTGAATCTGTTGCTTAACTTCATAATCATGGTTTGGAACATGTTTACAACAAACAAAAAGATGAAAAATAAATAAATAAAAAGCCTTTATTGTATAAGTCTATTTAAATAACACCCAAGGAAGATACATGTACTAGGATAGGTCTTACTCAAAATCCTGAACTGAGATCTCCACATGCATTTAAGAACAGCTTTTAGCCTGGACTAATGGAAATTACTTATTGTGCTCTCTGAGGTATCTGAAGTAAATTAGTAGTTTCTGAAAAAATATAAAGCTTCTGATGAACAAATAGTTCTGTTGATAGTCTTTCTTCTTCTCTTGGGACCTTTTCCAATGTAGTCTTCCCTCTGCCCCTACCTTTCCTTTTAAAAGAAACTTTTTTTTTTAACCTGAGGCTTTAAATTTTCCTAGCTGTGGATTTTAAAATGCTTTATCTGTGTGTAGTAGGTTTTCTTGAAATGCTGATTTACCTCATGTTACCCGAAACATTCAGGGGATGTTGTTAGTCTATGATTGACACCCTTCTCCCAGATGAGGCACACCTCATGGGGCATCTCTGAGGAACTGGAACACCTGCTGCTTCGGTGGCAATCTGAGCAGCTCGTGTAGGAGCAGCTATCCAGGCAGACCTTGTAAATGGGGAAAAGGGGAAATAAAATAAAATAACCTTGCTGTCTGGAATGAATATAACAGTTTGATTCTGTTAAGTAAGAGATGGTTTGATTGCCGGTGCTCAAAAGCATGCTAGCTACCTGGCTGTGTGGTACCAGTCCAAGGAATAGGTCTTCAGCCCAGTTTTGCATAAGGGTAACTGCTAGGGCTCTACTAAAGTGCTGATGTGTAGAGCTGGGTTTCTAGAATGAAACGAGGTGTTAATCCACTTACATACATTATTTGTAGTGCTGGTGGTAAAGTTACTCAGAGAATAAAATGTTGCTGTCCTTATACTTCCCAAAAGTTCGGGAGTCTACAGTTGAAAGGGATTTTTGATGCCCTGTGGCACTCTTGTTCTAATCTGATGCCTCGTTAGCTGAACCACTGAACTAAAGACGAGGTATCAAAAGTTCTAATTTACAGGATTCTTAGAAAATTACAAACATTGACTCTTAGGTGTCACAGATTCAAGGTAACTTCTTCCTCTATGAAAAAAACCCTTGTAACTCAGTTGAGGCAATTCTGCAGCTGTGAGCAGGAATGCTGGCTCAAATGTAGAGGGGAAAGAAAGGTTAATTCAGGCTTTTTTTAGCATGTGTAACATTCCAGTGAAGGTTCCTGGGCTGGAACCCTGCAAATTAAAATCTGCTGTCCGTAAGCACCTAGTTCTTTCACTGACTTAAGGAAGGACTTTGATTGTGGTAGGAAAGCTGGGTATCTTTACAGGCACTTTGACAAAGGTGATAGAGTAACATGAGGGTTGGAGGTTTTGGGGGACTTGGGGAAAATTTGGGTGGGGGGGTGGGGGTGGGGTTTTTTCCCCCCAATTCTGGTTGGAAATGAGAGATGGAATTCAGGATCTTGAACATATTTAACACTAGGACAAGCCACCACATAGCATTAACCATTGTTTTTACATTTGAATAGTGACCTTGGGATGAAAGGCTTCATATTTAATGGCTAATTTTGAGTTGCCACATAACTCCATTGTTACTTTGCTTGTCTTTGTTTCTCTGCCTTGTTGGACTTTCTTTTGGAAACTAAGTACAAGGTTAATTCTTCTTTACTGAAGCTAAATGCATTTAAATAAATAATTTCTTTTGTTACTGGTCATCTACTTTTTTTATTTAGTAGTAACGGTATATCACAAATTCTTGAGAAACAGATTTCTAAGCTCTCGTGCCATAATTGTGTATAGTTTACAAAAAAAAAAATCCCTCTGCAGGAATCATTTACTACCTTTATAAAATGAAGCATTTTTTAGGATTTAAAATAAAAACCAACAATTTCACTGTAATTAAATTAAACAGATTGGTGGCTTGTAACAAAGTTGTCATGCTTATTTCAAAAGTTGGAAGCTGTAAAACTAGAAATATTTCAAAAGCAAATTCTTTCATGACCTGTCTGTTAAGCTAGAAGTTGAAGTTTTTTCTTCTGAAACTGATAATATAAGCTGAGTTATTTCAGATGTCTCCAAAAAGCTGTCTAGTGTATTAATCTTGCAACTTGATATGTTGAAGACTGAAGTTTTTCATTAAATTTTTAACAGCCTGGAAATCTTTCTAAATGACAGGTTTTGGAAATGCTCATGAATTTTTCCAATGTGCTCTCATTCTTAAATAGCTTATTCAACCTATCACCAGAAATCTTTTTGAAGGTGTGTTGTAACATAATACCAAGAGATTCAAGTCATCTGAGGATGACTATTAGACGCGATCGCATTGTACTTGACTGTCAAATGTGTATTTATCTATTTAGGTTCAGACAAAGAAGGAAGAAACTTTGCCACCATCACTTAGTCAAAACATTCCGACTTTCTATTTTCCTCGAGGATGTCCTAAGGAAAAAGTGAATATAGATGCTGTGATTGCCAAAATTGAGAGGACTTTCTCTGAGTTTCCAAATGAGAGGGCAACATTAGAAGACATGGGGAAGGTTGCAAAGGTGAGAACTTGCTGGCTGTCTGCTTTTAGTACTGTACACCTGTGGAAAGAAAACATGAGTTCTGTGTGCTTTGTTTTCTTGCATTGTGTTTTCATCTCCTACAAGGTAGTACCAGTAAGACATCATAGTCAACACTGTTGACAGCAGAGTTAGTTAATGCAAAGATTTCCACACCTATCTCTCAAATGGCCCTACATTTTGCTTACAAAAAGAAACAAACATTAAAACAAAACTTGAACTGTTTTTTTTAGTTGCATAAACAACCGAATACTGAAAGGCACATTGGATGTGGTTCTGTATTCTGTATTGACCAACAGACTTAAGGCAAAAGCACTGTTAAATATGCATTTTGTTTTCAGGTGTCCATGCTGTTTTTTCTCATTCACCATTGTCATGAACCTCCATTGTAAAGACATTGAAAGACAGAATGGTTTGGTAACTTGAGATTATAGCCCTCTAGTTATTAATGAAGAGCTAATTTAGAGTTACAGTAGAGTGACAAAATACTAAGCTTAGAAAGCAGCAAATATTTTTAAACTTCTGTGGAACAGACAATAAGCTAATTAAATTTCCATTTTGTTATATTGAATCAATGCTTGAAATAATCACTGCAAGTCATGGTCTTGGTAATGAGTCTCAGGTTCTCATCCCTGTTCCTGTCACTTTGCACTTAAAGTCCATGGTCTAGAAAATAGAAACAAAGACGCTTCACAAGAGCAGGACTGGGCGTTCGGAAACTCCTTGTTTGCTTCACCACAAGTGTTTAACCGCTAAGCTAAACAGTAGGATTCCTGCCTCCCACACAGGAGTGGGGAGAGGTGGAAGAGTCCCTTCCCTCTCAGCAAGAAAGGTGGAAGGGTCCAGTCACCTACAATTCGGTGATGAAAGGCACCCTCCTGAAGCACAGGGAAAAGCCTTTCTGTCTGAGGACAGTATTTGTCAAACTCGCTTCTTATTTTTTTAAAGTACTGGTTAAACTGTTGCATGAGAAATAACTGTCCTTTTGCTCCAGTGACCTTATACATCTTGCAGTATTCACAGTCTTATTTGAGAGCCGCATGAGATTCTCAGAGATGCCAGCATGACTGACTACTCCGAGTCATAGTCAGTTTTAGGCAAGACATAGGTACTTGGCTGTTAGGACTGAGGAAGCTTGGCTGGAGCAGGCACAGAAGGAGCTCTGTAGGTGTATGTGGGAGCATTGAAGTTGTGAAGGTGTAACTGTTGGGTATCCTGAAGCAAGATACTGCTGCTCAGGGCAGGCTGGCCTACTACTTAAAATTGGATAAATTATATGCCGTGCATATGCAAGGATGCAAATGAGTTGAGCCATCCTCTGAGCCAGACAAATGTAAATTTGCTCTAGTTCAGAAGTTGTGTAACTGTTTGTCCTGTCTTGAGCTCAGCTCAAAGATATCTAGCCCTTTAGCAGAGCTTATTAGCATGGACTCTGTTCAGCTGCTTGGAGCATGGACAGAGCAGACATGTGACTGCATTCAGCTATTAGGAATGCTGCAAGTTGCCCTATGTTTTGCTTTCTACTTTTGGATTTCAGCCTAAAGCAGTTGCTTAAAATTAATTACTTTGGAAGGTGCAGTTGGTTTCAGAAACAGTTTTTTAAAAATCTGTGCCTTAATGTTTTCTTCTTAACACTTGTAAAATTTAATTTTTGAAAGATTTATAAATAAGAGTAACCCTCAGATAAGCAATGAATAAACTGACTTGATGTATACTTTAATTCTAGGCTTGTGAATGCCCACTTTACTGGAAAGGTCCTTTGTTTTATTGTGCTGGAGGTGAACGAACAGGATATGTGTCAGTTCATAAATTTGTTGCAATGTGGCGGAAGTAAGTAGATTACTTTTTTTAGAAGTACTGCATTTTAATTGAAATGTGATATTTTAAGCTCTGAATGAGATCCAATCTGTAAAGGGGAATAAACCACTTTCCCATAATCAACCATTGACAGCAAACTTGTACCTGGTAAAATGTAACTAAATCATCACTTTAACATAAACAAATCTTTATTTACAGGGTTTATAGATTTTAAAATGTTTGGTAAATGACTGGCTGTTTATGGGAAAAGTGTAAACCATGGCCCTAACTTGTAGATGCCAGTTCTGGACAAAATGCTTTTTATTCTTTCTAGTTCTTCTTCCAGTTCTAACTTAAAAATGTCCTTTCATGTAATCAATTACATGGTGTACCCACCTTCTATAATGTAAATGTATGAGACCAGTACTGCTTTGATAAGTTTACTTGGAGTGTACTTTGACATTTGTAATTAGCTTTTGAATTACATGCTGTGGTTACAGTTTCATAGGCCTTGCTCTAGGATACCTGTATGAGGTAGCATGAGCAATTTTCTGTGTAGAGTATTAAATGGAAATACTTACATTTCAGAATACTTCAGACCTGCTATGATGATGCTGCAAAGTTTGTTCATCTTCTAATGAACCCTGGATGCAACTACTTGGTGCAAGAAGACTTCATTCCTTTTTTACAAGTAAATTGCAACTGAAACTAGTTCTGGAAACACAACAAAATGATGAGCTGGCAAAGCCCTGAATTGTTTGAGCTAAACATACTTTTTCATGGTCTTAATTAAAATTCATTGATAATATTCAGTGTAACTCACTTTGCATGGTCCACTGAGATGCTAGTGAGGGACTTCTTTTACAGTTAATAATTTTGTATAAGGTGAGGTCTTTTGTAAGAGCTACAGTAAGATGCATGGATTTAAAATTGCTTGCAGGAATAGCACATGTATTGGAGAATCCTTACAGTTTAGAAAGGCAGTTGAACTTAAGTCAAGGAGGGCCTTTGGAGGGCACAGGAAAAATGGCATATGAATTCAAGATTTAATACAGCTTCTCTCAAAGAGCAGCAAACAACACCTTTACTAATGAATGAATAAAACCTAAATTGGTTTTTACTGAATCATAGCCACAGAATTACAAGCTACAACGGTCAGCAGTGTTCAGAATCTTTGGCCCATCTAAAACATAGGAAAGCTTTTGTTTATCTGGCTTCTTTAAAAGATAATTTTATTTTTTAAAGTCAGCAATGTTATTTACACGAAGCGTGTTGTAAATGAAGTTACTAATGATTGTGGTAGTTAATTTGAACTGGTTTGGTTAAGGAAGCAGATGTGCTATTCTATGCTAATTATTTTATATAGTCACTAATGATTACTGTTTGGGATATTGTTATTCCTTTTTTTTTTTTTTGTAGGATGTGGTGAATAGTCATCCTGGCCTATCATTTTTAAAAGAAGCATCTGAATTTCATTCTCGGTACATTACCACAGTAAGTGATTTGTATTTGGAAAAGCTATTTTTTAACTAAGAAGTTAAGTAGGAAAATCAAAATTATTAAGATTAGTCAATCTGCATAAGCACCTTTGTCCCTTGAGAAAAGTTGAGTATGCTGTCAGTCTTCATTTCTACATAACTAGAAATCTCATTAAGAAAGACTCAATTTCTTAAGCATCATCGTTTTTCTTAACATTTATAAGAAATTGTTGAACTTAATACTAGTAAGAGAAACACTGAATTGTAATAGTGTAGGATAAGTTAATGACCTTTAAATGAACAGCAGACTTATCTTAAACACTCCATTGTGGCTATAGACTGTACTGATTAGAATCCTGACCTTACTCTGGGATTAATTAAATGGAATTCTGAATGAAAGGTCTATATTAACATGATTATGTTCAGTATTAAGTAAAATAATGATAATATTGAAGCTGCTTGCTACTTTCGTGTCTGGGGATTTTTCTTTCTAAGCAGGTTTTATACATGAAAAGTTCCATTTCTGTCTTCCTAGGGTTATGTGACTGAAGTATTCTTTCTGTACCCAAGGGAAAAATCAGTGACATTAAATTTTCTCAGCTGTAGACTAGGCAGCCGATTCCACTGAAGTCTCAAAAGATTAAAACTCTTCAAAATGACATTCAGTTCACTTTCTTTGTGCATGTGAAAAATAGCTTAATGAATATTCTCGAACAAAAAACATGCAGAGTTGATCATCTTTTATCCAGCTTATCGTTTGACCCAGACCACAACTATGGAAGCTTTTTTGAAAGTGTTTAGTTTTGGTTCCTCGTATCCTTCTTACACAGACTTGCCAGCCTATCAAGTATGTCCTGCTGCATTAGGTTTTGCTTCTTGTTATATTACATGAGCTCCCAGAACTTTCTTGTCAGATGTGACTGAAGAAAATGTTCTGCCTCTGAGTAGTTTTCTTTTAATGGATTCTGGGTTGTATCAAAGCCTTCTCTGCTTAAAATTGTGAAAGCTTGCTGCCTGTCCTGAAGGACCATAGGAGGGAAAAGGTTCTGCCGTTTCCAGTTACTTTTCTTTGGAGGAACAGCTTATTTGAGTAGGCCTGAGTCTAGCAATATTGAATAAATTAGTGCTGGCAGTACTTTACTAACAAAAAGTCATGATTTAACCCTCAGCCCCACGCAGCTGCTCACTCACTCCCCCCGGCTGGGATGGGGGAGAGAATCAGAAGGGTAAAAGTGAGAAAACTCATGGACTAAGTGTCGTGGCTTAACCCCAGCCAGCAACTAAGCACCACACAGCCACCCACTCACTCCCCCCCCATCCAGTGGGATGGGGAGAAAATCAGGAAAAGAAGTAAAACTCCCGGGTTGAGATAAGAATGATTTATAGAACAGAAAAGAAGAAACTAATAATGATAGTGATAACACTAATAAAATGACAACAGTAGTAATAAAAGGATTGAAATGTACAAATGATGCGCAGGGCAATTGCTCACCACCCGCCAACCGACCCCCAGCCAGTCCCCCAGCGGCGATTCCCCACCCCCACTTCCCAGTTCCTAAACTAGATGGGACGTCCCATGGTATGGAATACCCTGTTGGCCAATTTGGGTCAGGTGCCCTGGCTGGGCATGAGAAGCTGAAAAATCCTTGACTCTAGTCTAAACACTACTGAGCAACAACTGAAAACATCAGTGTGTTATCAACATTCTTCACATACTGAACTCAAAACATAGCACTGTACCAGCTACTAGGAAGACAGTTAACTATCCCAGCTGAAACCAGGACACTAAGATAAAGACAGTTTAACAGGGAAAGTAAAAGCTGCGCACACAAGCAAAGCAAAACAAGGAATTAATTCCCCACTTCCCATGGGCAGGCAGGTGTTCAGCCATCTCCAGGACAGCAGGGCTCCCGCACACGTAATGCTTACTTGGGAAGACAAACGCCATCACTCTGAACGTCCCCCCCTTCCTTCTTCCCCCAGCTTTATCTGCTGATCATGTTGTCCTGTGGTCTGGGATACCCCTTTGGACAGTTGGGGTCAGCTGTCCCGGCTGTGTCCCCTCCCAACTCCTTGTGCCCCTCCAGCCTTCTTCATGGCTGGGCATGAGAAGCTGAAAAATCCTTGACTTAGTATAAACACTTGACAACAACTGAAAACATCAGTGTATAATCAACATTATTCTCATACTAAATCCAAAACACAACACTATACCAGCTACTAAGAAGAAAATTAACTCTATCCCAGCCAAAATCAGGACACAAAATTTAGTGTAGTCTTCAACAGACATCATTGTTCAATCAAAAATCCCCAAAATAAACTAGTATTGCTGTGAATATAGCAACAATATTTGGAATACTATTCTGCAGATCAAGAAATGGCAGGAGGACACTCTGCCCTTTCTTGTCGTATTTTAGGATGGAGTAACTGTTGCCCAATGCACTCTTCTAAAATTCTGTCCTGCAAGTTATTACTAATAATTGTAGATGATTTTCTCCAAGATGAAATAAGGCATTTTGTACCTGTATTCAGTTAGCTTTACCTTGCTACATGAAGCTTTAACTAAAGGATTTTGTAAGCACTGCAGTTAAGATTTAACATCTGTTCGTGCTATTAAATTAAATGATCCATTCTTCTCCTGTCTTTGTATATACATATGTATATATGTATATGCATACATACATTACATACATCTCTTTAGTGAAGCAAGTGTCTTGTGAATGGTGTTCAACCATGGAAGCAATTGGTTCTGTCTTCTAGGCTGTAGTATAGATAGGTTGGTTGGTTGGTCAGACTAGTGGTAAGGTTCAGTACATATTTCCAAGATAAAGCTGAAATATATTACACTTTTGCCCTGACAAATGAGGTACTACATTTCATCTGCAAGTATGTCATATATATATAATCTGAACTATGAATTCTTGAAATTGTAGTCTTTGTATTGCCCCATTTCCTCTCCCTTCTGACAAAACACTGTGCAGCATAGTAAAGAAGGCAAGTCTCTGACAATTTGCTTATACTCTGCTTCAGTTCACTTTAGAAAATCATTTTTAAGTCTGTTCCCAGTTGTCTTTAGCAAACATTCAATTTTGTTTTTATTTTTAGACCAGTTAAATGTATAACAGATGAGATAATGACATGCAGATGGATTAAGTTGCAAAGCTAAGGCAAAACCTTTTTAGAAAAAATTGCTTTGTAGTATAAGCCAAAAATAGGCCTTCCCTAAACTCACAATTAGAATTAAGCTAATTAAGTTTCAGAAGTAGGCTAGTCTATTCTCCTTTCTGGATTTATTGAACCAGCTGTTCTTATTCAAAGTAAGAGCTGTAGAGCTTGCTGCATGCTACAGTTTAAGCTTTATTTTAAAACTTCATGAATAAATTACTCTTCTGTTTGTAATTTAGAAATGGTTGGTTTAGTTTGTTTAAACTATTGATTTACTAGAATTAGTGTGAAGTGATAAAAATGTAAACAATGAAGTCTTTAGTTGGGAAGAGGTTTTGTTTGGGGGAGAAGGGTTCCTAAAGAGATGGGGTTTTTTAGCTAGTAACTACTGTGTTGCAGATGAAATGCTACACTTGCCATATTTAGTCTTGCTAATTAGCAGGTATAATCAATCTCCAGTTGAGCAGTTATAGTTCATAATATGTTTAGATTTTTTTGTCTGCTTTTGTTAGTGGTAAATGACTTGACTTGAAATGTATATCTGGTTGACTTAAGTCAAACTAATTCAGGTGAATACTGAATTCAGTTAAGAAACAGAAAAAACATACTTTAAAGTCCTATGTTTTTAACTAAAACTAAGCAAATTATGCTGAATGCATGAGTTTACCAAAATAATGTACATGTACAACTGATTTAAACAAAAGTGTTGGATACTCAACTGAATGCATTTGTTTCTGGTTCCAATAGCAGTCATGGCACAAGAGCTATTCATCTTTCTTGCATAGATCGTTTTGTTCGTCAGTGAGAAAACATACATGTAATTTTTTTAATACTATTAACAGGTTTTTTTTCAAGTAACTTTAAATAGATTAAAATTAAATGGGGGGAAAATGTATTCTCTCTGCACCTGCAGGAAGTATTTCTGTCGAATGTTGATTTGTTGTATTTGCAGACTTCAGAAGTAGCGACATCCCCCTGTACTCTGATCCTTAAACAGTCCCAATTCTATTTCTGTAACTTCATTTATGAAGTAAAATATTCTTATAGTAAATATAGGTCTTTAAATCTGAAGTAATAAGATATATTAATAGGTTTATTAGGTGATATCCTGTAGATCTGGAAGACTCGGAGGTAGTGAAATTGCCAATAGACATATTCTGGATAGCATACAAGGATTCTGCAACTTTACTGTGTGAGATATGGGTACTGCAGCACTGAAATAAGACTTCTCAAGATGAGTTTAGATATAGATTTAGAATTGGTTTGGTAATATGACATTTAAGAGAAGCATCAACCTGCTAAGTAAGGAGAATAGAAATAGGGGAAAGACGGAGTTCTGTAATGTATCTGAGCTAAGACTTATCTTTGACAAATGTTTGGGAAGGTATTTAGTTAGCATGCCTAAGATCACCTTTCCATTTTCTGTTTCTTGCAGGTTATACAGAGAATATTTTATACAGTAAATAGGTCCTGGTCTGGGAAAATAACTTGTAACGAGCTCAGGAAAAGCAACTTTTTGCAGGTACGTAATATCTAAAATTTTTCAAGGCAGATGTTTCTGCAAGTTTAAAAACTGCATTAACTAAATGCTTAAGAGAGTAACATAAGTAGCATTTCTTCCCTTTCCAAAAACTAGTGAAGGCTCAGTTGCGTTAATTCTCATATGCTAGAATATGTTTAAATGTCATCCTTTGTCTAGAGCTGTATATATGCATATGTGTTTTACAGAAGTCTAGTTGATCTCATTCTTCTGTGGACACACTAGTTTTCTACCTTGTGTGTTCAGTCTTTGCTGTCAGGCAGCATGGTGTGCACTGTCTCTGAAGATAAAAATTGTTCCACTGAAATAGCATTAGATGTTAACTTGGTTATGAGAATTCAGATAATTCGAAAAATGTCTTACAAATTCTTTAATGTGTTCTATTTATCCTTCTGATAATAGAATGTGGCATTATTGGAAGAGGAAGCTGATATTAACCAGCTGACAGAGTACTTCTCATATGAACATTTTTATGTTATCTATTGCAAATTTTGGGAGCTGGATACAGACCATGACCTCTATATTGATCGGAAGGATTTAGCTCGACATAATGATCATGGTATGACAAACAAAGCACCTTTGCTTACATGTATTAAATGACCTGTAAACTTTCAACTGAGGAAGTGGTTAACTGCCAAGGCCAGTGTTCATGAGTCTGTTAGTATAGCTGATCCTATGGACTCAGTGAAATAAAGCAGGATGAGTCATCTCTGATGCTGCTTTGTTTCTAGCAATACCAAATTTGAGGAAAATTCTGAATTTGAATTCTGATCTTGGCAAAGAAGTAGAGGAAAAAATCATTTAAGTCTTGGTATATTAGAAATGGCTGCATTTGGCAGGTTTGGTTATTATCTTGGAAACAATCCATTTTACTGATACTATTCAAGTAGCATGGCTCTTATGGCAAAGTATGGAAAGAGTAGAACAAGGCAAACATACGTTCAGGTACTTCACTTATTTTAAAGTTTTGCTAACTCAGCTGCAGTACATTTTGTTTTAATACTACTTAGCAACCTTACATTTTCTGCATTCACAATATACAATGACTGTGATTCTGTAGTCTTGCACACTTGTACCTATTTTAAATATTCTTGTAGCTTGTATGGAACTGTTGGGGTTTTTTGGATGCTTTGTGTCCACTGTCATCTTAAAAGTATTCACTTCAGGACTGGAAAGCTTATGTAAGCACAAAGTGATTACGGAATATTATCCCACATTAAAAAGAATAAACACAATTCCAATTGCTTCTGAAAACTTGGCTCTGAAGTCTCACTACAGTTTAGGACACTGTGGAAGGAAAGCTTCTTTCATTTGAGTTGTTGCTCTACTGAGTTAGTACACTGTAGAAAGGAAGTAGAACTGATATGATGCTACTTGCAATTTAGTTTTGCATCCTTTAAACAGTGGAATATTGGTTAAAGCTTAATGGCTGCTGCTTAGTGAGAATTAGACTAAATAAGAGCATAAAATGGATATGATAACCCACCTTTAGTCTTAAATGTCTATTTTTTGCATGTCAGAGTTAGATAATCTGGTTTCATCAAACCCTTCCTTTCATACTGCCACTAGTCTAAAATTAGGCTAGATCAAACACTTATATGTAGTAAGAAAATATTAAACTATGTAGCTGTTGTTGAGAAGGTTGAACAACTTCAGTGTTTCAAAAGTAGATAAAAAGCAGCAGCAGCACATATGTCTGAAACAAATTGGCTGTGCTACAATTCTGGGGACAAATATTAAGTAGGGACTAGTGTCCTTACTAGAATAATACAGTGATAGTATCACCATAAGTACATAAAACAGATGAACTATTTGAATGGTTAACCACCTGCTTTAATTATCAGTATTTCTACAATGCTGAAAAAATATTTCAGAGCTAGAATAATGAGAAGCAGTTCTCCTTCTGTGAGAATAGTATCAAGTGCTACTTTGAGTACCGTCCACAGTTCTTCAGGATAAATTGAATATCCTTTACGGAGGCAGTGCTCCGTTAAGACATGTCTCTAAAATCCCTGAAATGGTTTCAAAATAGAAGCATGGATCAGAACCATGTCAAAAATAGACCCATGTCAGAATCAGTTAGGTATGCTCATTATGTATGAATGTGCCAATTCTATTTTGGCTCTTTGCCAAGGTCATATAAAATGTAATGGCATTTGAAAACATGATTTACTTGTTAAAGAACTGGTAAATGCTGTCTTATTAATCAGCCAATTTTTTTACTTTTATTACACTACTATTCCTGTATTAAGTCCGAATTCAAAGTTGGTTGGTTCTAGCTTTGCTTTGGAGACTTTGTGTTAAGTGATCTTCTCCAAGAGGACTCAAAGGGATTAATGAGCACTACACTTGATCTTTCTCACAGATGTGTATATATGAGGGTTCCAATAAACTCTTCAACTAGACAATACAAAGCAAAAATAACTTGTATCTAATTGACAGTATTTTAAACCTTTTTTCACAGCAATTTCAAATAGGATGATAGAACGGATCTTCTCAGGAGCAGTAACAAGGTACTTATTTTGTATGCTGATCTAAATCCAGTTTAATATTTGCTTGTTAAATTGTGTGACACTCCTAGAAAAAATGCCTTCCTCTTGAAATGGAGCAGCGAATTTCAAGATTTAGTATTGTAGTTTAAACTCTAGTAGTACTAGAGTGCTCTTGGAACCTTTGGCGTAGTCCCAAGTTCTTTACTCTCCTTTCTTTACCCATATGAACACTTGCTATTGGATATTGTATGGTTTAGCAGGGATGGGAAAGAGGAAGGGAAGAAATGTGTGTTGTTTTTCCATCCCTAAACCTGTAAAATTTTCAAAGGGAATTGGGCTTTTCAGTACTACTTGCAAAATCAATGTTTATTACATCAACAAATTTACAAAAATGCCTCCAGTAGAGTTAATTCATATTTTTGACAGTCATTCTTCATTTTTCCCACCGGGATTGACTTCCTCTTGTGTATTTATGGCATTTTACTCATTTTTGAAACATTTTGCTAGCACTATATCTGAAGCTAGAAAGTGACTCATAAACAGAAATAACAAAAGCTGAAATGAGTGAAATGACACTTGGCAGGCATATGTCTAGAGCGTACTCCTTTATGTGAGTTTTTTTGGGCAAGACAAAACATATGCTGTATTTTTCTAGACATCTTGAGGAAAAAACAGCAAAAAAATGGATTTTAGGAATGAAATGTAATATGTCTAGGAACTGCCTACCTGACTTCTTGCTAGACAGGTTGACCATGTGTCTTCAGAATGTATTTGCATGCTCTATTCTGTGGTATGAGAGTAGAAACAGACAATTACATTCTTGCCACGAACACTTATTTCCTGAATGTTTTTCGTTCCTTTTTATCTTCATATTTCCATTCCAGTGCTTTGAGCTAGTGGAGTTCTGTACAGCTTTAAGTTCTTATCACTTCTACCTGAATAGAAATTCTAAAAAGCATGTGTATATGTATATAATAGATTTTTTTTAAATTGAGATAACTCTTCTCTTAAAAATTAAGCAGTGGTATTGCTGCCCAGGAAGGAAAGCTGTAGGTCCTTCTGGACAGAGTGCTACCTTCCTCTTCCAGCTGCTCCCTTCCTCTTTACCCACTGCAGTAGAAACAACAGAGCACACAGGCTCCTTATCCTGAATGATCAAAGTAGTCTGTGACAAGTAACCTTATGAACACTGCATCATTTAAAAGTAAAAAAACAGTTAATAGCACCAAGGGAAATAATCCTTAATTTTGGTTAGTAAAAACTAGGTGTCTTAAAATAAATTTTTTATCTTTTTCCTCATTGGCCTTCAAGAGGTAGAAAAGCACAAAAAGATGGGAAAATTAGCTACGCTGATTTTGTCTGGTTTTTGATATCTGAAGAGGACAAGAAGACACCAACTAGGTAAGAATGAATTTATGTTTTAACAGAAATAAAGACTGACTTTATTGGGTTTTCCAGTCCATAAATTAGGGACCACTGATGCTCAACTGGAACTCTGATGGAAAAAGCTAAACTATAAAAACATGAGTGGAAGACTTGGCCCCGTTCATTGCATCGTTCTTATTTATCAGTGTCTCCTGTTGTTGCTGCTGTACAGGTCTATTTTAATGACTTTTAAGAGGATAATTAAATGCTATTGTTCTGTATGCTCTGTGTGGCCTACTTACAGACAAGGTCATAGATAAAGGAAACTGCAGTTGTTTCATGATGCTAGTGACTTTGGGAAACTATACAGCTAGCATTAGCTGTAGGATATTGATAAGAAATCTGTTGTGTGACATGTCACTGGCTTGTTCAATATGAAAAAAAGAACTTGGGTTTTGATGCACAGTTCAATTTTTCATTGGCTCCCTTGAGTTTTTATGTAAAGCCACATGTTTTAGTCCTCTCCGCCTTCACCACTCAATTAACAAGTGTGTTTTCAAATGCAATAATGGATGGCATGGCAAATACAGGAAACTCTTATCACAATAGGTGGTGTTTAATGACTTTCTATGGTATTATGGAATGTAGTCTTTTAAGTCTAGTTTTGCATCTGCAAGTAGTGTAGCCTTTAAAACAGGCAACATAAATTCCTGAAATTCTGTAATAAGTTTGTGTAAACAGTTCTTTGCTATTAATTATTGAATTTCAGCATTGAATACTGGTTTCGCTGTATGGATCTTGATGGGGATGGTGCTTTGTCTATGTATGAATTGGAGTATTTTTATGAAGAACAGTGCCAAAAATTAGACAACATGGCCATAGAACCTTTGCCATTTGAAGACTGTTTGTGCCAGATGCTGGATCTTGTGAAGCCACAATATGAAGGTAATAAAATCTTTTTCCATCTGTAACTTCTGTTTCTCTGGATTAGGAGTTAGTGTACCCTTAAGAGCACTCAGTTTGTCATACAAAGAATATACCTTTAGGTTGTTTTTTCTCTGAAGTCTGTTAGAACTTAATAATCGAATGGTCTGCCAACTGCAGGCAGGCATTCATTTTCATACTAAAATTTAATATGCTGCTTTAAAATTCCTTGGAGGCTTTTATTTGGGGCTTGTAGCCATGTTTAGTCTTAAATGAAATCTTGTCACTATCTGGCTGAGGTGATGCTCTCAAAAAAAGCTCTTGACTGTGCTGTTCACTTCCCTCTTACCTGTTCCAGTACTCATTTAATTGAGTATTTCAGAGGAAACAGTTTCTAAACAGTGTTTGTCTCTGTAGCTCAGTAGTGACTTATTTTAGGTTAGAAGCCTAAGTTGCCCTTAAGAAATTCATGTCAAGGGACTTAAAAATAACAGAATACTAACCTGTTCTTAGTTTTTGGCTATTTTCTACATTCATTTGAAGCTTCACAGACCTGCATTCTACTCTCCTGCATTTGACGTGTATGGTCTTTAGCTGATGAAACTTCAGTTTATATTTTACACCTGGAAAAAAATTATGAAGTCAGCATGATGCTCACTTCATATTTGCCCTTCTGTGCTGCTCAAAAGTAAAAAAATTTTTGCATGCCTTGGTAAACATATTACTGTGATGTTCAAGAGTGATATCTTGCATGTTCATGGCCTCTTACCTCTGTGCTGTTTCTGATATTTGTCTCATAAGTTGATAAAACTGTTGTAGCCATGATGGATTAGTCTTCAGGGATTTGTTGAACTCAACACAAGTGAGGTCAACCTGTATCTAAACTTAATGTCTCAACACGTGACCACAGTTAGCACTAATAACCCTTATTATGGCTATACTTTTTAATGTGAATTTCAGTGTGTAAAAGGATTTGGAATACAGTCTGGTTGCTATTATTGTACAGACTCTGCATTGCAATAAATTTAGAACTTGCCTATTTGCTCTGGAAGTGTTTGATAGGAGTAGCAACCTGTATCGCATATACTAATGTTTGCTGTTTTTTATGGTAAAAGAAAATTGTTGGCCATCTTATTTAATGCTTTTGTTTAGAAAATGTAATGTTGTGCTAGTGTTTCACATTTAGACATTTCTAGATGAAGCACTGAGTTTTTCCTACTTGAATGTGAAGTGTCACTTTTAGTTGAGTGTGGAAGAGGGTGGTTCTGTTTACTGTATATACAGTTATGGTTAGAGAATCAACTAATAATAGTCTTGCTTATTGCCCACCTTTCTAGTATTAAGAATACTTAAATTACAAGAAACTTAATTTTCTTTTAAAAAGGCGGTTGTCTTTTATTGAGACATGATTTTTTTTGCATGCTAAGGGAATTGAAATAACTCAAAACTAGAACTTAAAGCCTTATATTCTTATTTAAACCAAGTTAAAATGGATTTGCTAGGTGAAAACACATTTCTAAAGGCAGGAAAAAAATGTAAATTAAAAAGGAGTATTTAGTTTGTTTTGGCTGGAAGCTCAATCCTAGATATCAGTGGAATGAAATCTTAGACCAACACTGTATAATGCATGGAGCGGTGGGAAGCATTTAAGATGAAGTGAAGCAAGCTCTGAGGAACACATTTATGTTATATGGTTTCCTACAATAGCCTCCTGAACTTAGGGGCTCCCTTCCAGTCTTGTCTGCTTTTCAGAAGCATAATGTATGTTTTCAGCAATGTTTCTGTTCTGCATTTCAAATGAAAGAAGATTGATATAACTGTTCTGTATCATGAAGATGATAAAAGGAGGCTGTGAAACACAACCAAGATGAGAGTTATTTAGGGCAACAAAAATGAAGGGCAATTGTGAAGGGTTGATGTTTTTTATAAAACCTGAGTGATGTTTAAAAGGTGGATTAAGAAAAAATTCTTCTGTTGTTTTCCCAATACAAAAACTAGCAGCATAAAATGGTATTTCGCTTGGTAGATTTGAAACAAAAGAAGGTACTTTCATACAGTTATGGCTAAACTGTGATACAGTTTGCTACAGGATGTTCTGTGTACTGAAAAGCAAATTCTTTAGTTTGTGGAGGCCTGAATTATCTCATTCTTTCTTTTTGTTGGTCTTGTAGATGTCTACCATTGCCTCTCAATGAGTGTTAGGCATCTAAGCTCCCATTGCAATAAATGGAAACTGGAGAGCAAATCAACGAACCAAATATAGGTGCCTAACTTAAATTGGGAGCTTATATAACTGGGACTCAAATTATTTGCTTGGTTGTGGAGAGTTGCTGCCACTTGAGATGGCTCGATACATCAGACATCTGTGTGGGTCTGACAGATATGACACAGGTGCCATGAGAGATTTGTGTCATTCTGGAGCATCAGCTATAAGCCAGGCAGAATACACTAAGGCACTTCAGATAGCAACAGACACAAGTGTGGCAACCATTTCCAAATGGGATTCGGATTTTGCTTTCCTCTGATGTCCTTGAGTTATACTTTGTTAGAGGCTGGGACACTATGCTGAGGAAATGTTGTTCTAAATCTGGCTTTGATTGAACTCTTCCATAACATCTGCAGTTAGCCCCTCTTCAGTTGACAACAGAAGATTGGCCATATTTCAGGTGAATCAGTGACGGGGAGTTTTAAGGATAGCCATCTGTCTTTCCCTGTATATCTGGTATTTTTCGGTCTTTCTGCAGAAGCTCAATATTCAGCTTTGAAATAAGGTAACATTTCTGAGCAACCTTACAAATACCTCTAACACTTAATGGATCCATTTATTTGAGTCTTTAAAGTATCACTTTATAAAGAACCAACCAAACAAAACACCTCTGAGCATTTAGCTTTCCTCTCAAGCAGTAAATATTGATCAGGCTGGACAAGTGTGGCAAACTAGTCTCTATGAAAAATTCATCTGTATGAAGCATAGTCACATACAGTCACCTCTGTCATACATTTTTTCTTTTCAAGTCAGGGAAGAGAAATGGCCACTGCCAGAGGATATTCCTACCTAAGCACTTCTTGGGAAGGAATGGCTAGCTCACTGGAGACTTCTGTCTCTTGAGGAAGCCTGGACAATTATCTTAAATAGTTTTTAATAGCTAAGTGACAGACTGCATCTCACTCCAACACATTGAAGGATGGTAGGATGACAGTTAAAGCAAGTAACAAATCTGAAAAAAGTTTTGTCCTCTTTGAAGGACACATTTCTAGGTATGTATTTCATCTATGTGCCTTCTCCCGTTGTGTTGAGCATGAGTGACAAATGTTCTTGAGCATAATGATGACTTAACTTTTGTATAACATTCCTCCTCTTTAGAGAAAGGATAACTTCAGCTTTAAATATCTTATCTTGTAATCTTCTTTACAGGAAAAATTACTCTGCATGATTTAAAGCGATGTAAGTTGACAAATGTGTTTTTTGATACTTTTTTCAACATTGAAAAATACCTTGACCATGAACAGAAGGATCAGTTTTCTATGTTGCGGGTGAGTATGAAGTGTTCAAAGTCTTTTTAGCTGTGGGCTTAATAATTAATATGTTTTTGTATAACTTGTAATGTGATTGTTTAGGATGGTGAAGGTGAAAGCCAAGAGGTCTCTGACTGGGAGAGGTATGCTGCTGAAGAGTATGATATCTTGGTAGCAGAAGAGGCAGCAAGTGACCAGTGGAATGACGGGTAAGAATGTAGCAGGAGGGTTGGTACGAATCCTCTCTGCTAATGTAGAGCCTCACCATTGCTATCATCCTTGATGTGATTTTTGTAGAATGTTGCTGTTTGTCATGTTTAGCCATGTGCTCAGTGAGGGAGGAAGAACCTTTCTTGTATCTCAAATTAAACCTTCCTTGACAGTTTGTGATTACATTCATTTCGTCAAAGAAAAGCTCCCACTTCAAATTTTGGGAGGGAATAATATTTGAAAAAGCTTCAGCTCTAAACAAAATACAACATTAATTTTTGCAGCTTGTTGTTAAATGAATGAAGAGCTTTGCGGGGGGGGGGGGGGGTGACAAAATCTCACTTCTGAACTCAATTATATCAGCTCAGATGTACTTTTTCCACAGTCCTCTAAGAGTAAATAAGATAATAAACCTTGCTGTTTCAAAATCACTCCTTTACTTTTGCTGTGTAGCTTCCAGAACCTTTTGGAATCCAAACTCCTGAATTTGCCATTCATTGTTTTAGTTATTTAAAAAGATAAGGAAAACAAGTATAAATTTAACTTGGTTTAGGCCTTCAGTTGATTGACCCATCTAGAGAAAACACATTTTCCTGCATTTCCTGCATCAATATTCCATTTTAAAATATTTGATTCTTGCAAGTGTTTAGAGAATGACTAGCTTGATATTTAAGAGAGTGCTTTAAATCCTGAGAAAGTAAAATCCTCTTAACACATTGATTTCAAGAAACTTCATTAAAGAAAGCATATGAAGGAAGAGAGAGGGGAGGGAGAGAATTGTTATCACTACCCAGCCTCTTCAGCGTTAAGGGGGAATCATACTCTTAACCCTTCATGGAATCCTCTTCTAGAATTTATAAATATTACAGAATTAACAAGCCAAAAAATAACTGAAGCTTTGTTGTGCTGTGAGTTAGGCAATACTAAACCTTCAATGTTCTTTTTATCTCCTTTAATCTCTTAATGTCATGGGCTAAGTTTAGGGAAGGTACAGAACAGGTATGTACATTTTTGACAGTTGTTTCAGACACTGTAAGGCTGAGTATAATAGCTTAAATTTGATGGATCAGAGGACAGAACAGTTTCTACAGCTACTGGCTGACAGATGTTACTTATTTGTAACTCAGCTGACAAAACTAGTGGGATTCTTATAAACCAGTGAAGGATTCAGATTTTTGGCCCTCTGTTTTAGAATACCGTTATAAAATTAACATGTTTAAACCATCAGGAGTCAAAATATTAAAAAGTTACTGGTGGACTTAGACTGCTCCTGAGAGGATCAGACTGGCCCCTGCAGTGTCTGCCATCATCTCACTGTCTCTCAGAGGGGCCCCTTTAATATAACACAGTAAATCAGTGCATCAGCAGGTCAGCCTGAGAGCCCAGGCTTGACGGGAATGAATGGTGTTTAGGAGACAAGGTACTGTTGAATCTGAACATCTTAAATCTTAACTAGAACCACTTCCTCAAATGTCTTACACCTTTGTTGTTTTAGCCTTATTTTCTCTTTCTTCTGCTGGTCTGTTTACTTCTACCATAGTAGTTGTGTGTCTCCACCTTCTTGTTTTAAGATTCTGCTGCTGTTGTGACTTTCTAGAATCTGAGTGGTAAGCTCATTTTGCCCATTTTCAGATACAAAGTTACAAAATTCAGATGGTTTTTGACTAAATTTGTCTCAAGCTCACCTGAGAGTTGACGGTTAAATGCAGATTTCCTGGATTCTGTTAGGATCCTATTTATTCTGTCTTACAGCTCTTAAAGCCTCTTACAGCTTTGCTGTGGAATACCCTGAGAAACCAGTTCTTCTGTCAGTTGAGATACACTGAGGGTTCAGAAGTATACCATGTGGTCTGTAGAAGCTAATCCTTTAGCTAGATTGTCAAGGAAGGATTTCAACTGGTCCTCTAGCATTCTGTCCTGATACATGCAGTATCACTGGCAACTGAAACTCACTGGAGGCAAAATATCCTTTTGACATTAGTAGTAAGGGACCTGCATGTCAGACAGTCAGGTTACTCTGCGCCTCTGATTACGGGCTTGAAATTGCCAGGCTGTTGTAGACAAGTATAATTTTGTAAAGTTCTAAGATAATGTTTAGGCACAATTTCACTCACAAGTGCAAACAGGATATAGAGTAAGAGCCTCAAGGTGCTTTTATTCTGATTCAGTTATGAGCTTGTTGGCTGCAGCTGTTTCTCTGAGCTAGGAGCATCTCTGATTATTGTTTACACTAGGTTATTTTATTTTTACGTATTTCTCACTCCCACCCACCCCACCCCCAGCCCCTGGATGTCTGCTCTTGGAGAAGATAAAAGCTGCAAAATTTACAGCCAGTATTCTTGGGGTCAGATCACTTCTGTTCTTTTCCACAAAAAAATGTATTCAAGGTTTACCTGAAACCGTGGTTCCATGGCTTTACACAGAAAGTGGACAAAATAGAAACTAAAATACAAAATGTTTCTCAAGTTAAACTTTGGTATTATATTTTAAAATTTACCTTAAATTTTCACTTTTCAGTAAACTGCTAATAGGTCTTGAACAGTTAGTTTTTCAGGTACTTCCATGAAGTTTCTCTCTGTGCTATAGGCATAGTCTTCTTTGTATGTCCATGCGATTACAACTTAAGTAATACAGAGAATATTGTAGAACTTATGGTATGTAAAGCAGAGTCCTAATAACACTAAAACTTGAAAAAATGCACCTTCACTGTGTAAATACATTCCTTAAGAAAAACCAGTGTGTTACTGTAAGAATGATGTAGTGGAGTAGACTGGGATATGGAGGAGAGAAGATGTACGATGCTAAAACATCCAGTTTCTCATTTCTTTTGAACCTGGTGTTTGTAAACTCAAGTGACTCTTTGGTTGTAGGTTGCCTCTGCTTCTTGCATTAGCAGATTAGTCACAGATCTTGTAGGAAAAAAACCTGACAATTCAAGAAAAATACTGCACCCTATGGAAGCAGAGCCCAAAAAATCATGCATTTTATTTAATTACTTTCTGTAACCCTAGTTGGGTTTGATGCATAGGCCATAGCTTAACTGTTGGCCCTCCACACAGCTTTATTCAAGTGTTCCTGAAGTTTGCTGCTTTGTTTCCTTGGAGTACAGATTGTAATGCTCATTGTCTCCATTAACTACCACTTTGACAAATTACAAAGTGTTTCAAATATCATATATACAGTGTTTCTAAATTTCCTTAAATATCTTGGAAAGGAGTAAAAGTGATATTCTGTGAGGCCACCAAAGCATTGGAAGAGAGTGGGGTTTTAATTTGACCCAATAATGTTTGAATAACAATCTTCTAAGTATAGGATGGATGGAACCTACAAATAGTATCTGAGATATTCTCATGCTGCCATCTTTACTGACTGGAAAAGCTGCTCTGTATCGCTATGCAATAAACAAATCCAAAAGGTGCCATTCAAGATGCTTCTGTTTAAAAAAAAGAAAAAAAAAATCCTCCTCAAAAGGATGGAATTAATGGTGTGGAAGACTATAAATAGGTGTGTGAGCCACAACTGTTGTTATGGTAGAATATGAATCTTTCTTCCAAATCCTTGTTTTCAAATGCGTAACTCACTAAAGCAACTCTTAGGATGACTTTTGTGTCCTGCTCAAATCAGTGGTGAACTGGTGGGAGAAAGTCAAGCTATTCTGTTCACTGCCTAAGCACTGACTGACACTCACATAACTGAGACTTTAGTATCCATGGGAAGGATGTAATAATAAAAAAAAAAAAAAAAAAGAAAATCAGGAACTTGCTGCTTAATCTTTACCTGAAGTTATCAAAGCATCTTTATTTTGTTAGATTTCTTTTACTGAAAATGATGGTGAAGCTGGCTTAATAGTTTATCTATGAAGTGTTTCACCAGAATTGCATTCACAATTGAAAATGTTGTTCTTCCTCCCACCTCTACTCTTAATGCTACTCTATTTTAGTGTTCAGAGTAGATTCTTAGTATTTAACTCTTCTTTGCCCTATGTCTCCTAATCACCACATAATGCCATTACAAAGTCACATTTGAAGAACAGATATTGCACTACCTAAAGCTTATTCTTTGCCTAGTCTTGTTAAGTAGATGGAATTAATCATGTGCTGAGATGAGATTCGGTAGCACTTGGGAAGATGTGCGTGAACCTGAGTCAACCTAGCCCAGGAAGTGGTCAGTTCTTTAATCTGACATCATAAATCTCCACGAAGATTTAATTTTTTTTAAAACAGCTGTCAACTATAGATTGATCCCACCTAAACAGTGCTGAAGCTGATCTTTTTTAAATATCAGCCTTCACTGACTTGAGTTAGTTAACATTACATTTCATTATCCATCTGTTCATTTTCATCAGCAGCAGGTGGTTATCAGTAATTTCTGGTTAAACAATTGGCTTTTGCTTTCTAGCATCTGCTTTAAATACATGGTTGCTATCACTTGTGCTCATGCGCATTTTAGTAAGACTTTCAATTCAGCATTCTTTCTCTTTTGTTGTCTCTACTGCAGGTGTAGTTTGTTCTTCCTAATGAAGACTAATTTCAACTTTCTTAAAAAGAACTTGAGGGGTTTCTGTCAAGTACTTAAGTCTTGCATTTGACCATAACTTATGAGCAGTCCACTAGAGCAGTATGTGCCTTGAATCCTTTCAGTAAAGCTGCATATCTCACTAAGAAGTTCTGCATGTGGTGGGAGAGTAAGCTAGCTTAAATTTAAGTAATTATTAGAGAAACCTTGTGCTGCTTCTGGTTACATGTTTCTTTACTGTAAATATACAATATTGGAAATTATATTCTTCCTGCAGGTGCCTTGTTAATGTTCTAACTTTTAGGTACTTCCTGACATAGCTAGAGTCCTTCATTTTCTTTTTTTGCTCATTCCTAGGTATGAAGCAGAACTGAATCCTGTAGACCATCAGAAGTCCAACGTCCTGAAGTATCAAATGGAAAAAAGACCATTTTTTGAAATGCCTTCCCATCTGGCTGATGTAGACTTGGATGAGTATGACTATGAAGAGGACTTTGAGTAGCCATTGCTTACGGTCAACACTTGCAGAAGAGAAGGGACAGTCTGCAGCAGGTCTGCTACACACCTGTATGTTTCAGTGGGTTTTGTTTCCAGGAAGTCAGCTTAGTTTTGTGCTAAAAATATTTAATCACTACACTACCTTTTAAATAGAAGAAGCAGCGCATTTGTATGGAATGATGAAACTTTTTGTATTTATTCAATAGTCTATAGTTTGTAAAATAGATTAAAATATTTATTTACAGATGTTGCATAATTCCTTTTTGGAAGAATAACAATATTTGACTTTAGAGAAAAGTATTCTACTGTTTTTAAGAGAACTGTGTCATTTTCTTGAAGTTGATGTGTGGTGCACTGACCATCCCCGCCCCATATGCGAACAGGTATTCCTGTCCTGCTGTGGGAGGTAAGGAGACAATTTATACCTGGCCTGCAATGCTTATATGCTCATAGACAGCCCTAAGGGTTTTATGCCTCGGCAAGGAAGAGACGTGACTGAGTGCGTGATCCAGCTCTCATTTACAAACAGTTTCATTTGAAAAGCTGAGCATATTGGCATGCAAGGAAAGTGAACGCTTGAGACAAGTTGCTTCTCTTCTCTGTGTAGTCCTTGTTTGCCCCAACTTTAATTTTGCTTGCCCTTTTAAACTTCAGTCTTTTCATTGATGTTCATTATAAAAAGATTATTTAATAATGAAGTCTGGTTTAGTGTTCATACTTGATCCAAAATGAGTGTGTTAATTCATGTAGAAGGAACCAATTTTTTTAAAATCCTTTGTATAAATGTTACTTGATCAGTGATGTGCACTAATTTGTTGTGGGCATTCAGTGCTGTTGTCTGTCCCCCCTTCAGTTGTTTGCTATTGACACATTCCATGGATATTCATCAGTGTCACAGCAGCTTGAAATTGTTGCCTCACTCTTACTGTTAAACAGATTTTGAGAAAAAAAAAAATGTACAAAAAGATGTAAGTTATTTTTTGGTTGCAGTGTAGATCTGTTAAAATGTTTAAAAATCATGTTTGTATTTTCAAATAAAGATTTTCATATATGTAATTAAACAGCTCTAATTATTATGTACTGCATACTATTAACTTCTTACTATTAAAGAAGCATTTAAGATATGATGGGTTACACATGTGTGCAGTCTGGTTGGGTAATTACACCAAGCTGCATATTCGAGGCAATCAAGCTCTAGCAGGTCTTTCTTCATCTCAAAGACAGTGTTGCTGAGCAGCTGGAAGTGGCACAGAGAAATCTGTTCCACTCAACTCATCACACCATCTCATGTGGGAACTTGCAAACCTGTGTATCTTCAGTTAATGTACCTTACCAAGGAAACTCAAGTCATTTTAATGGCACTCAAAAGATTTTTTTAAAAATAAAATCAGGGTTGATTTACTCCAATTTTAATGGAAACTCATCAATGTCAGATACCTTTCACTGCTTGCCCCTGGTTTTGGGTTTTTAAACAGTAGAGGTACACAGAGCAATTACGTTAAGCTCTGTTCCTGAAGGTGCTGTGGGAAAGGATGACCAGCTGACTTTCTAGATGACCCTGAACTTCTGCTGCTTTTCCCTACCTGAAACCCTTCACCTGGAACCCCCCTTCTTAAAAAGGGGGCTTGTAAATGGGCACTGTACAGCCATGGGTGTTGCCATCACACAGTGACATTGCCCCATTCAATGGAGCTATGGTGCAGGGAAGGTCTCTTCTGCAGAGCCTGTTGCTTTGTTGCCCCTTTGTGTTTAAGGTCCTGTTAAATCCTGCCTTCTATTATACTTGGGATAACCAAGTCCCTTTTTTCCTAAAGGATTTGCACAGATCTAGTAGAGCAGATTATGGTGTTATTGTGGAAGTGCCTTTTCTTGCAAGACACGAACTATAAACCTTACTGTACCTTCCCCCAGAAGGATAATTCCCATCCCTAGTCTTTTGTTACAAGAGTTAAAGCATCAGCATGTTTGATGTGGTCCCAGGTAAAACTTCTTTCTTAGTCCAGCTGTATTCTGCCTACCTGGTAAGTGTTTAGGCCTAAATCCACAAATCTAGGTGGATGAGGGAAACGTCACCAAGTCACAGGGGAACTGAGAACAAGTTGATCTGGGTGAGAATCAGCATTGTCTTGTGAAGTGCTACCTCTCCCCTTGCATTAGCCTACTGTATACTTCATACAAAATGAAACACAATGGTTTTACTATTGCTGCTTCAGGCTATGTGATACCCGGGAGACAGTGATGGCTTTCACTTCCATGTTCATGGGCGCTCACTTCTCAGTCTAGAAAGCCGGCAGCAGTGCTGCTGTTCTCTCTCCAGACTTGGTGTGGGAATATCACTTGCACTTTCAGTACTAATGGATAGCAACATTTCTGTAGTTTATTTTACACAGTTACTATATATATATATATATATATAAAAAAAATAAAGCTGATGATCGATAGGATTAACACAATGTACAATTCCATGGAGCAGTGACAAAGGGTCAGCGAAAGCAGCCAGCACTCCCCAGCCTACTGCCTCTGGAACACTCTTGAGTGAAGATTATTTGCAAATTCTGGAAAAACTACTTTTGAAGGGCAATAATTACAGTCTATTTACATGGTCTTTTCAGGCTTTGTATTTTCCAAGTAAATACCACACGATCACTGTGTATGAAGGATTTCTTCCAGAGGAAAATACTCAGTCAAGTGGTCCCCTGTTTCTTTGTTACTTAGAAGACTTGATGCAAGTCTCTGGGAACATGTCCTGATCCCCACTAGACCACTAACCACATCGCTGTAAGCACTGGAATTTAGAAATACTTTCAGACAATTTGATCCAGGTTTTCCGTTTTACAGGCAGGAAATGGCACTGCCAAGTCACTTGCCATCACCCAGCAGGTCACAGTGTTTGCAGCTGGGCCAGGCTCCTTTCTCCTCAGGGTCAGGTAGAAGGAAACAAGTAGATATCCATCTTGGTTATCTCAAATGGTAAAGAATACATCCAGCAGAACGCTGACCCCATGCTGATCTGAGCAAGCTTGTCTCATCTAGTTTACAGAGTCTTTGACTCAATAGTTGTCAATACCCTGATTCCAATCTTTAGGTTGGGAATTTTTCCAAGGCAGCATCAAGGACCAGGACGCAGTTGAGTAATGATGTTCACTAACGCCCACAACCTTAGAAGCATAACAGTCGAATCAGTAATGCCCACAAATAGCAATGTGGAGAAATGAACTGCAGTGCTAGTAACCGGTTCTGGATGGCAGGCAGAGATTTGACTTGATACCTATCTATCTCATCTCCTGCTGCCTTGGTTGATGCCATCGCAACCCCCCATTTTCAGTTAAACAGTTTGCAGAAAAAAACGGTAGTGTGTTCTTCACTTCCATTTATCCTCTCAGCATGATCTTAACTGTCCTATACCGGGAGAAAAAAAAGATTGTCAGTCTCATACTATGAAGAAAACATCATGGAAGAGCACATAAGGAATCAGAATAAGAGTGTAGCATCTAACCAACTAGCAGCTTGACCATAGCTGGCTCTTGGAAAGCACTGTATTTACCCTCCACAAAAAGAAAGAAGCATTTCTATACCACAGGGAGCCCTGAAGAGTCACTACAGGGAAAGGCCACATACTAAATAAGTAGTGCATTTTCTGTATGGCTTCAATCTTGGTCCATGGATTTAAATTCTGTTACTATCTATCTTCTGTAGGAGCTGCTCCAAGCACATGGTCCAAGCAGTCTACATTTTAACAGGCATATGACTGGAAGAAAGGGTAGAAGCCCCTTTTTCCTTGTAGTCCTCTTTAAAAAAAAAACCAAAAAAAAAAAAAAAACAAAACCACCACTCAAATATGAAAAGAAACCATTTGCTCAACAGGAAAACAACTCATTTAAAAAAAAGTCCAAAATCATACAAGCTCTTTGAATGTGGCTGCTAGGTCCCAGATAACCAGAGCCACTGGAAATCAAGGGGTTGCCTGAATCACTGCAAAAACCTGTCTGCCAAACAGTGGGTTTACATTCTGTAAGAAGTTCAGAAAGCAGGGGGAAATACAGCAGAAAAACTTGAAGGAACCGTTCAGCCCCTTGCAACGGCTGACATTAGCTGCAGCACAGGAAGCCTCATGGCCTCTTTTCCCCCCCCCCCCTTTCAGTATAGTCACTGCTGCAAGACCCCTGGCGTAAAACACCCTATTTGAGTCCTTGCACTCCACTGGCCTAAAGGGCTAAAAGTCCTTTCCTGCTGCAAGTATCCATTCCAGGGCTGAGCTGAGACCCAGGCAGACAGCTGCAGTTTTGCCAAACATTTATCTGATCCCAAAGGCAACCAGTGCCCACAAGACAACCCCCAGGCTATGCTGGCTGCCACTCCAAGCTTCCCTTCAAATCCCCAGCTGGTTTGGGAACAATTTAATCTTCCCAACAGCCTTGACTGGAAAAGGGCAAAGAAACAAGGGACACTCCAGTGAGAGCCCTGGGCTGACCAGTGATCAGACACAGTCCAAATCTTTCAATCTAAACAGCACAGTGCAAACACCATTTTTGAAGCAGACATTCCCTGCAGGCCATGCAGCAGTGCCATCTCTGCAATGTGTCAGTAACATGAAGCAACTGCAGCAAATGGCTCTTAATCAAGAAGCTACCCAGTATGGGAAAAAAGGAAACTGGACCCTCCTCTTAATGCATCCTAGCTGGTGTTCAATGTACATAAGGATGTCTAGATGCTACAGAAAGAATTGCCTTAAAAATGCAGATCAAGCTGAAGAAGGAGGCTACAGCTGCAGCTGGAAAGTAGAGGGGAAAACCCCTTTCCTCAGCCTGAACAGGGCCACAAAAGAGCAGCCCCTTTGCTGCTAGATGGGTACTCATGAGATTCTGAACTCCCATTCACCCACCTCAACTACAGCTGTCCTCAGAGCTGGAAAACCCAAGCTGGAATTACCTGTTCTGCACTAACAACATCAACATCAACATCTTCAGTCATGTCTTCTGCTTGACCCTTCTTTGAGACATCTTCTGTCTTAATCTCATCTTTGCTGGGAAAAAAAAAAGGTAAGTCTTGAGAAACTTTATAAGAGAGGTTGCACATTGCACAAGTGTGCTTAAGGTAGAGTAGTTCACATATTAAGATCTGCTGCTGAGATATCCACGTAAGGTAGCCCAAAGTTTCTGGCCCAGTATTTCCCAGGTATGAAACAGGTTATGCTGCGAGGAATTTCCAGTAAAGCAGTTCAGAAACAAAACACTCATTTAAACAGGGGCTACCTTCATGTTTAAAAAATTTTTGTTCTATTTTACTTGTATTCACCAGGTCCACTCAACAAGTGTCCCAAAACCTGGAAAAGCATGCATCCTTCTGGGATTTGTTTTTCATCTTTTAACCTGCCAATATGGGAAATAGCACTTAACACGTCAATAAATGAAATGTATTAAAGGAAAATATCCCAACTGAGCACTTTGAA